CAATTGTGAGGTTGGGGCAGACCCGGAAATGTTTCGTTCTGTTATGCACAGGGTCGCTATGAGTCAGAAGAAATGCAACAGCACCTAACAACAACTTAGTTTGGGCTGAAAATTGAGTCATGGGGTGAACTAATTTCCAGACCTGAAGGGTGATGTAAGGGCAGAGTCTTGTGGGTTCCGCCAGTCTCTGTCTGTCCAGGAAGTCGGGTCTTTTCTATTATTTGGTTCAAGCTGTTCCTGCGGGGTCGCCCTGAGTGGGAATGGACTTGACACTAACAGTTAGACAGAAAACCGAGTCCAGCCAGCAAGGACGCCAGACTGCTCTGCATCTACGCTAATGGAGGAACCCTCGTGGCACTGTGGTTAAGTGCTCAGCCACAAACTGAAAAGTCAGCGGTTCTAACCCACGAGCGGGAGAGAGATGAGGCATCTGCTGTATGTGCAGGCGGCTGAGTCAGGATCACAGGAAGTGGGTGTGGTTTGGATGCTGGGGCTTTCTGAAAAACCATGGCAGCCCTGTAGGCACATCACGTGGGGAGAAGGGCCTGAGACTGGGAAACCCGGCCTCAGTCCAAACAGAGATGAGAGTGACACACAGCTGTGGAGACAGCGGGCGAGCCCTGGAGGGCAGGTCAGCCTGCACCGCCGGTTACTGGACAGAGTGAGGGTGAGGGAGCCTGCTCTCAGCAAACCACCCGGACCTTGCCAGGGGCTGTGGAATCCACACACTCAGAGTGGAAACCTGCGTAAGCATGAACTCTGGGAGCAGCGTTCACATCTTCTGAGACACTGGAGACAGGATCCCACTGATCATCTCTAACCTGGGTAGGAACGAGAACCCTCTCACCAAACCCCACTCCGAGCGCCCCCTGGTGTAACAGTGTCCAAGGCTGTCATCTGTACGGAAGCAGTGCCTCTTCTTTCTCCCATAGAGTTGCTGGTGAGTTCAAACCGCTGACCTTTTGGTTAGCAGCCAAGCACTCTACTGTTGCGCTACCAGAGCTACTGCCTATGCAGACGGCAGCCAATAAAATCCTGTGGGGAAGTTCGACTCTGTGACATGGAGTCTATGAGTGGAGAAAGCCAACCCTCTGCTCTTAGAACAGGAATGTTACCAAATGAGATTAATGCGGATTAGACTTTAAAGGGCAGAGATGAAGCCACATACATGCTCCTCACTTCTCAGCTGTCTCTTAGCTGTCCCTGCATTTATAGCAATAGGAAAAGTTCTAGTACCCAGCTCTTCGGCACATTAATAAGCCCTGGGGTGGGAGGCAAGAGTACCATGGGTACAGTTCCATGTCAAGGCGGTTTGGCAGCTTTGTAGTGATGAAATTACAGGATTACGTATGATGAAATTTGGGATTTAGGTAATGATGTAATTTGGAAATTATGTAATGATGAAATTAGCAGTTGTGTGACCTATGCGATGTGTGATTTAGCAGTTATGTAATGATGTAATTAGCCGTTATGTGGTTTATGTGAGATGTAATTGGGAAGTTATGTAATGATACAGTCATCCTCTGTTTAGTGATCTGATGTGGTCATCCTCCATTTTTGTATAGTGCTAATTTTTGCATATCCACCTGATCTTTGGAACCCAACCATGTCAGTAAATGAGGAATGAGTGTAAATACTAAAATAAATAAGTGGTGAATATCATAAAACAATGAGATGAGAATGGTTTTTTTTAACTATGACATCACACACCATCAAGAAAAGCTGAGATTCCAGAACACAACAACCATGTGTACTATCAGCAACAATGTCACTGAACATGAAGGCAATAGAATGCTGGGGGTGGTGGTGGTGGTGGCAGCAGCATCTCCTCCCTTAGAGACGGGCTTGCTCTTCTGTCCTGTGATGAGTAAGTTCACACTTCCTAGCAACAGAAATGCTGTATTTTAGGGCTCATCAGCATAGTTATGAGGGGAAATGTCTTGAATTTCATAGATTCTTGGAAATGGCTTATTTTTTCCAATCGAAGCGGTTATGGATCTATGCAAAAGGATAATTAATGAAGTGAATATGCAAAATAGCCTCTTCATCTGGGAAAAGGGTTTAACTCCATTTCTTACCTCTTTAAAAAGTGTATACGTTCCACCCTGTATAGTTAGAAACTTGGTGCCTTTGCCCCATAATTTCAGTATCTGTTCCTCTACCAAGCAAACTACATCAAACCAAACCAAACCATTCCAAGCCAAACTTTATGAAACCAAACTACACCAAACCAAATCAAACCAAACTTTACCAAACCAAAGCAAAACATCTGTGAAAGTAAAAAACGTAGCCTATAATACCAGGAAACGGTTAGAGTTTGAAGTCAGAAGAAAATGGTACCTGGGACATTTCTGCTAGGTACGTACGGCGCTCACTGTTGGTCTTGTGGTAAGCCTGAATGAGAGACACAAAAGCAAAGAATCCGACGTGAGAAAAAGAGCACCATTAGCAAAATGGCTGCCTGGTTAGGGTTTAAGACTCTTGTTTTAAGAGGGTTAGTAGAAAGTATTGCTACAAAAAATCATAGCATCCTTAGGAAACAGAAAAATCAAATGGGAAGCTGTTACTTCTTTGCAGATCCCCCATCTAGGTCTCTGCACTTTGGAAGGTGGGCTTTCCATCTCTCTACTCCTGCTGGAAGAATTCTGCACTCTTCAATAGAAGCCAGGTAAACAATCATTGGGGTGTTCTCCAAGGATTCAAATCACGTCCCTCTTCAATGTTGCGTTTGTGGAACAAAAAGTCTGAAGGGGTACTATCAGGGCTATGGGTGGGTGGGGTAATTTACCCAAGGGAACGCTCATGGGACAACCCTGACATCCGTGGAGAATGGGCATTGTCAGGAGGGGGAAAAGCACTCAAAGCAAGTTTGCTGGCCATTTCCTCACCAATGTATTTTCCATTTTCTAAAAACTTCTTCCGAATAATCCCACATGACCATCCTGTGTCCTCTGAGAAAATCTATAAAGATGATCCCTTTGAAATCCCCCCAAACAGTCATCCTAACCTTCTGAGTTGACCTCTCAGCCCTAAATGTCACTGGCCCAGCAGATCCCCTCAGCAAACACTGTTTTGTTTGGACCTTTTCTTTGGAAGGCTCCCTTATGAGATCAGACAAGTGTGTTCCCGAGAGCACCTGTCTGCAGCCACCCACTGACCACAAAGACATGTTTAAACACATTGTGTTTGCAATAAACCCACGTATGCATGAACTGGAACCCAAGTAGCAGAACTTTTGACATACAGTGGTATCTAAATAACCTAATAAATCGTGTTCAGAAGCATTTTGTGATGATAAATACAAGGGGGCTTCAAAGATTTTGTAGAAAATTCCATTATCTTTTCATTTCATTTTCCACAAACTTTTGGAAGCCTGCTCCTATCTGTGATAGGCCTGTTGGTAGGATCCTAAAAGTACTAGAGACTTGTAAGAAATGACTTTGGGTAACACGGAAACAAACCTTTGATTCTTGTTCCAGTCTAAGTGCGTAGTCTTTCACTTGGTTCTCGAGACTCCGTTTTTCTTTCTCCAGCTGTTTGAGTAACGTGTTTAAGGATTCCTGAAATGCAGACGTTTGATGTTTCCGTGAATACGTGGTCTAATAGCCATGAGAAAAGATGACCGCTCCTTTCCTCGTAACATGTCTTACATCCCTAGCCCTCTGTGACCCCCCAGCTCGATCGCGTGCGCTATTACAGTGGGTATGATACCAGGGTGCCTTGTGCTGTGGTCAGTGCTTCCCGTAGGTGCTGTCATGTGACCCCACCACAGCCCTCTGAGAAAGCGGATCTCCTCATTTGCATTTTACTGTTTGTGGTCTCTGCCTTTCTTGAAATCCTTCCTTCAGCACCAGCTGGCCCTCAATTCCTACAAGACCTAGACTGGCTGTCCCAAGCCTACCTCACCCAGGCAGCCCCTAAAGTCCCTCCGGGAGGGGGGGGTTGGTGTGCTGGCATCCTGCCACCCTCAAGAGCATGGGTGGGGCTGCGTATAACATCACATTATCAGAGCAAACAGCAGGGTACAAAAGAAGCCCACCCACCTCACTGAGCCAAGGAGAGCCCTCCATCACTAAACCTTCTTTTTCGGGTGTTACTTCTTTCAAGAATGCCCCACCCCATCTGCTTTGCCTCTTCAGTGGTCAGTTTCATGGGCACCATCCTGCAAGAATGCTGAAGAACTTTCAAGAACCTTAAGATGCCCCTACCTGCTTCAGGTCTCTGGGGCAGAGTCTGTGTGGACCCTAGGGTACCGGGAGGACTGAGGAAGGGTCAGGTGGATGGAAGTGGAAACACAGTTTAAGTCTGGTCTCTACACTGCACATACATACTCACCAGTGGGCGCCCACTACAGAAGCGTGTTAAACAGACACTGGACCCAGGAGCCAACCAAGAGGAATCACTCAGCTCCTGCCCTTGGCCACCAGCACTGAGACAACAGCACAGGTACTGGTCCACCCAGGATGAGCCAACTGCTCCTGAGCATCTGGATAGACGTCCACATCCCTTCAAGGAGGATCAGCCACCACGTGGTGGCCAGCTGACCACACGCACGCATCATCTTACAGTGCTTTGCAGGCCCTGTGTTTGTGTCAAGAAAGTCTGCTGGCACCATTTTTCCAGCTGCGCGTGCTCACTTTGTGTCTGTTCCATGTTGGCCAGTCTCACAGTAGTTCGAACTTTTCATCATGCTATGGAGTCCTGGTGTGATACACATTCAACCACAAGGTCAGTTTGAACTGCAAGGTCGATGGTTCCAATTCACCAGCCGCTCCTCAGAAACCCTATACTGGGTCAATATAAATTGGGACCAACTCCGTGGCACTTAACAACAACAACAACAACGTTGCATACAGTACAGCCTAGTGTCCACATAACTTCTATACACACAAGGAAGCACTGAGAGGCAGGGATGAGCAGCTAGATGGCAGGTCCCGGCAGTTTGCGTCTCGAACTTCGGTTGTTCACCCTTTTCTGAGCCTCCCCTTTCACCCAGGCTACTTTAAATCCACCAGTCTCTGGAGAAGGACACCACGCTGGGTAAAGTGGAGGGTTAATGACCCTCAGCAGGACAGATTGACACACTGGCTGCAGCAGGGCCATGGACCGGGCAGTACTTCATCCCGCTGTGCACGGAGTCGCTCTGAGTCAGAACCCACTGGGTTCAACTCCAAAGTCCCAACGAATTCCCCCCAAAATGGGTACTTCTAAGCCCTAAACTCTTAACTGCTCTCAAGTTTCCACCTTTTTAGCAGGACCTTATTATCCGATTCTTCGTTCTTATTCTTTCTCGATTGTTTCTGGAGTTGACCTCCCTCTCATGGGGAGAGATGTAGCTATGAACAGCTGCTGGTACCAAACTGTAAAGTACAATGACTGTAATTGGCCCATTTTGTCTCATCTTTCATTACATGTCCCACCAACAGCAGTGAGGGTGAGTGCAGAAGAGGTCCTTCAGCTGACCCAATTGAAGTCAAGTCTGCGCATCTGGGCTCCACGACCCTTGGGCCGTACGGGTCACGAAAACCCCTTATGCCGTTAAGCGCTGAACTGTGTTCACCAAAAAGAACAGTTAAAGCCCTCACCGCTGGGTCCTATGACTGTGACTATGTTGTTGTCATTATTGTTGGTGTTGTTGAGAGTTGTCAAGTTGGTTCCAACTCATAGTGACCCTGTATCAGGTTTCCAAGGTTGTAAATCATCACAGGAGCAGAAAGCCTCATCTGTCTCCCACAGAGCAGTTGGTGGGCTCAAACCTCTGCCCTTGTGGTTCTTAGTCCTGGGCTTATCCTCCAGAGCCAGCACGCTCCCCTGTTTGGCATAGGGTCCTTGAAGATGACCACACTGGAGCAGGGTGGGCTGAAATTCTATACGGCAGGTGTCCTTAGAAAGCGAGAAGAAACACGGACACAGAGGGACAACAGCCATGTGAAGACGGAGGCAGAGGTTGCATGGATGTGTCTACAAGTCAAGGAACGCTGGAAGCTGGGTGTGGCAGGAAGGGTCCTCCCTGGGAACCAACAGAGCAAGCGTGGCCTTGCCAACACCTGGACTCTGGACTTCTGGTCTCTGGAGTGGTGGGACAATACATTCCTGTGGTTTTAAACCACCCAGTTTGGGGCACTAAGACGCTGGTACAGGGATTAAACACAGGACAGAAGAAGAGGGGAAATGCGCATTTTAGGGGGAAGGGGGCACTGTTCTAGAAGATTGCTCAAACAAGGGACATAAAGCTCCCGGCATGGTCCTGGGATTGGGGCTGCTGAAGGGCATCCAGGAGATTAAGAGAATGGAGCACCTCAAGGAATTGTGAGATTCTCGTGCTGCTAACTGAAAGGCCTACAGTGTGAACCCACCAAGGAGCTGTGGGAGGAAGGTGAGGCCGTCTGCTTCTGTAATGAAGACAGTTCTGGAAACCCTACGGGGCAGGTCTCCTGTGTCCTATGGGGGCGCTAGGAGTCGGAACGGATCCGACAGTCATGAGCTTGGTTTGGGTCTTCTGGGTAATGCTGGCTGATTTACTTAAAGTCCAGTTCCCTACACAATAACACAGTAGGCCAATTTGGTTTAAAATTGAGGTGCTGCGGGTTAATGCACTGGACTGCAAGGTTGGTTTGAACTGCAAGGTCAACGGTTCAAACTCACCAGCTGCTCCTCGGAAACCTTGTATAGGGTTGCTATGAGTCAGAACCAACTCGAAGGCACTTAACAACAACAACAACAACAACAACAACAAACACTTTAACTGATAATTCTTGGGAAGCCCAATGTGTCTTAAATTCTTACACACACAAATCTCCAAGTAAAATTATATCTGCTCTTCCTTGTTCATTATTCAGGCCATGACCGCAAACGTCTGCTAAAAGGGAAAATCAAAGCTGAGTGGAGGCAGCGGGTTTAAAGCCCCACAACGCAAAGCCGGAGGGTGTTTTAGAACTCACCCACTCCTGAAAATCAACTCTACAGCACCTACCAACAACCCCCTCCTCCTGAAACATGGCTAAGTCTCCAAGGCCCCTGCTTACTCTCTCTGTTAGTAATTATTAGAGCTTTAAAAACTGAATTAAGAGGATAATTGGGTTAGCGGAACCAGGGCATGCTCTGGTCTCTCAAAATAACACTGATTATGAAACCAATCTCTGGGAGGTGAAATGTCCCCACTCTGTGCATGTGGTTAACCTCCCTGTTCAATCACAGGATCCAGTAAAGCAAGGCTGCTCCTGCAGACAGAGGAGAACTTCCCCTCGGGGTTCAGAGGCTGGGATCTCTGCAGGAACAGAGAGCCTCCTCTTCCTCCTTCCTGTTAGCCACAGACGCCCAGCCACTGCCCTCAGAAGCTCCCTTGTCACTCTCTGTATATACAAGAGGGCTACAAAGACTTCCTGGAATAATTCCACTAGCTTTCCATCGCATTTTCCACACACTTTTTGAAGTTCCCTTGTACACTGTTGTTATTGTAAATGACATCAACTCAATCCCAACTCACCACAGAGTGAAACTCTCCCCATGCGGCAGAGTGAAACTGTCCCATAGTTTCCTAGGCTGCCCGGTCCTTCGCCCACAAAGTGGCAGATGGTTGTCAACCGCTGACCTTTCAGTTTAGCAGCCAAGAGTGATGAGGGTGTCTTTGTTCAGTCCTAACTGGGTGATAGTTCTCTGGCCGACTTGCTTGTCTTTGAAACTAATTATACAGTGGGGTCATAAATGCAGGTCCCTTCCCCAAAATACAAAATTTCACCAGAAGAAAAATCAGTGAAAGAATCTATGCTGAGCTATTTTACAGGACGTTCGATCTTTGTATCAAATCGACACAGTTAACATACGGAGAGTATGGGATAGACAGGCAACAAGGGAGAGCCACCGTTCAGAGCCTGCTGTATTTGTCCTTGCTCCCAACACTGGGCTCAGTCACATCATACCTTAAGGACAATTTTATACACGTGTGGCTGACCCAAGCCATGGTATTTTGAATCATCTCATATGAATGTGAAAGTTGGACAATGAAAAAAGGAAGATCACAGAAGAATTGATGCATTTGAGTTATGGTGGTGTAGAAGAATATTAAAGGTACCAAACACTGCTCGAAATACAAACAAATCTGTGTTGGAAGAAGTATGCTGGAATTTCCAGAAGGCTGGAAACCAGGATGGCCAGACTTTGGCTCTTGTCTTTGGACATGGTTTAAAAGGTCATTTTTCTAAGAGTATATCATAACAAGAGGGTAAGACTGGGCACTTAACAATACTGTAGACTGCAGTAAAGTACAGCTATTGCCCTTAAATCAATTCCCTCTCACAGCGCCCCCGTGTGACAGAGGAGAACTGCCCTACAGGGTTTCCCAGGCTGTCATCTATTGTGTCACTATGTACTCATATATACTCTTATAGATCATCCACTCACGGCGCCCCCTGGTGTAACAGAGGAGAACTGCCCTACAGGGTTTCCCAGGCTGTCATCTATTGTGTCACTATGTACTCATATATACTCTTATAGATCATCCACTCACAGCGCCCCCTGGTGTAACAGAGGAGAACTGCCCCACAGGGTTTCCTAGGCTGTC